ATAAGCTGACAGAAGCCAGAAAATATATGATCAGGGAAGAGTCATGGTAGACAGTTTATTACAAGTATTTCCTAGATTCCTGGAAACGTCCAAATTTACAGGAGACATACACGTCATAATTAAACAACTGGCAGAATCCAGAAGATGCAGGGTAGACGATTTTCTACAGACATTTCCTATATTCCCGGAGACTACAATGTCAAGTTCACAGGGGAACGTTACACAACCTGGCAGAAGTCAGAAGATGCATTACAGAAGAGACGGGTTAGACAGTTTACTTCAAGCATTCCCTATATTCCTGGAAACTACCGGGTCAAGTTCAACACAGGGGAACGAACGCACACGGGGTCGTAAAAGAGCATCCAATAACTTTGTATACGGTAATCCTTTCCGCGTTAATCCCTCCTACCGGGAACTGTATTTGCACCGCACAAAATCCTATCCGAGGCAATCATCCCGGAAGTGTGAAATGTCAAGTTTAATGAGCATGCGTGCGGTGCGGCAGATGGGTCCTTATCTTGGAGAGGCCACTTCCAATACTTCTTTGCGGTTTTCGTCAAAGCCTCAAACGTAAAGCCGAGAGAAACAAGAGAAGCTTTCTCGTCAGATAGCTATTCTTCTGATATAGTCACCGTCCCCTACGTATAACCCATACTTCAAGGGTGATACTTTACTATACTATACTATACTATACTATACTATACTATACTATACTATACTATACTATACTATACTATACTATACTATACTATACTATACTTCACCATACAATACTACACTACACTACACCATACTATCAGTATACTACACTAAACTATACCGTGCTATACCATGCTATACTATACTGCACAATACTACAATATACTACACTATGCTATACTATACTATACCTTTTTGAGTAAAAAAAATAACATGCTCACTACTATTTTTGGACTCAAATTGTGGAAGATGGTGGCGCTATAGCTTGTTCAAAGTCAATATGTCGAACGATTAGATAAATTGCCAGGTAAAAACACCACATAACAGAGACTGTCGCTCTGTACGTATGAGTTTCAAAGGCACCTTGGATTCTTACATCTAATTATGAGGAATACAAATGTACCACAGCAACAACGAACAGGTAAATACAAATGACTTCCGCTACACGCCTATCAACTAAAGTGACCTTGGAAAGGGGCACATAATTCTTCAGCACAGACATAGACGCTTACTTCCCATTGCGAAATTAACCATTTTATACAAAATGACGACCATTATCTATGTAATCACGCATGTAATATTCTAAAATGGCAATAATAAAATAGTTACTACGGAGCTACCATTTGTCTTGTCCTATTTTGGCGGGGGAAAATTACAGTAATATGCGAGTTTGTGGAGAAATTGTTCACGGCGGCGGCTGGTTTTACGACAAGCGCCCCGCCGCGACGTCTACTTATTACCTTATCAAGCCTCGGCACGCTTTTTGAAGTCCATAAAAACACACAGTAACAACCTTCATCATCGACAACTTGCGACATTTTCTCAATCGCGATGCCCTTCAAAGTCTCCATTACAACAATAGATGTCGTGCTCTTTCTTTCTCAGATGCCTTTGTAGGTCCTGTAATAGCGATGTTAGGCTTGTTAGATCTGAGAGACTACATAAAAGTGTGCTTTGCCGGCGAGAGGAAATGGTTATTTTTTGCAAACGTAAGCTCGATACATCACTGTAACCGCGCATACTACGCCTTCGTAAAGTTCAGTCTGTAGTTCATGTATAGTTCTGGTAAAAAACACAAACACACATATACATTAATTGTATACACAGACCCCGCCCCCTTCCCACCACACACATAGCATAGATAAGTATATGTGCGCCTGTGTGCGTTATTTCTAACCAGAACTATCTGACATAAATGAATCATGAACTACATATATATAT